CATCGTCTATATTAATCCTCGCAAACGATGTTTTATGCAGTTTTGAGCATTTTCGAAAAAATGTTTTTTTGACCTTTGACCCTTGACCCTGACACAGACAGACAGACAAACTATTTTTTTTCGCATGACCCTCCTTTCAGTCGAGGGAACAATTCAGAAATCATATCTACATCTTCACATTCTCTTTTAGATTACTCTGCCATTTTGACTTCTTTAGATTATTCTGTCATTTTAATATCTTTAGATTATTCTGTCATTTTAATATCTTTAGATTATTCTGTCATTTTAATATCTTTGGATTATTCTGTCATTTTAAATGTAGAATATCTTGAACACGGATTCAAACTTTTCTGAGGGAGGGTGTGGATGAAAATTTTTTTAATGACTAGAATCGATAGAATCAGCGTGAAGCTAGCACGAACAAACGATATGTTAGCTAAAAACTTTTTACCAAATATGTCCCGTCCATACAAACTACACCATTCGACTCAGAATTCAATTCTGAGTCGAATGGTGGTACATTTATTCACGGGACAAACTTTGAAAAAATTCTATCTGGATTGTAAATAGATCTAAAGGAAACGAGCAAAGATATAGATAAAAAATTTCTCAAAGTTTGTCCCGTGAATAAAAGCACCACCATTCGATGCAGAATTAAATTCTGAGTCGAATGGTGTAGTTTGCATGGACGGGACATATTTAGTAAAAAGCTTTTAGCTAACATATTTATATCGATCAGTGTGAAGCTAGCACGAAGGAGCTACCACGAAGAAACTGTGTGTAAGCTAAAACCTTTTTTCCAAAGTTTGTCCGGTGAATAAAAATACCACCATTCGATGCAGAATTAAATTCTGAATTGAACGGGCTAGGTTTTATGAACCGGACAAACTTTGGAGAAAAGTTTTTAGCTTATACACAGTTTCTTCGTGGTAGCTCTTTCGTGCTAGCTTCACACTGATATAACACAGATTTACTTTAGAGAGTCAAGCTTTCTACAGTAGTCATCGTTGATAATTACGGCGCCCTATCTTTAACTGGAATCATCCATGTAGAAACAAAGACGCAGTTATGTTCTAAGGCTGACCTAAGAATTTGATTTCATTTTAGCTAAAAGGTACATATAATTTTGCTGATAAAATCAATAATAACATGGGTCATGCGTCACATCATTTAGTGAATTGCTGCTCTCTTCCGTTCATTTTTTAATTAATCTAGCTTTTATTTAGATAGTTTATTAAAAAGGAGTTTTTATTCTCAGAAAAAAGTAAGCAGTTATATTCACTAGAAATTTTTGAACGCATAAAATAGGTTGATGTTAAACCTAACGTTTTGAATTCTTCTATAGTTTTCAGAAAAACGATGAGAAAGAGAGAATCAATATAATTAAATTCAGAAATGAGAGAGAGAGAATATAATTAGAATTTTTATATTTACTAGATTAGTATTGCAGTAAATACTCTACATCCACTCTTGATTATTTCATATCTTAATCATGTCGAATTTATTCGAAGAAGTTTATAACAGAATATTGGATACTAAATTTTGGATGAATCACATTATTCCACCACTTCAAATTGCATTTGGAACATTTGGAAACTTGATGAACATCATCATTTTCAGTCGTCGAACTCTACGAACCAATTCATGTGCAACGTATTTTTTGGCCAGTTCAATCAATAACCTTTGTGTAATTTATGTATCCCTCTTATCAAGTTATTTTTCAACCACTTGGAATATACGGAATGTATTATTTAATACGAGTGCCTCATGTAAACTTTTCAGTTTTTTTCGATACATGCCATATTCTCTTGTTTTATGGTTTCCTGTTCTTGCGAGTATCGATCGATTTCTTACAAGTTCAAAAAATGCACGATTTCGTCAATTGAGTAACGTATCAATAGCACGAAGAGTTATTATATCTACTTATATTATTTTCATCGTAATTCATCTACATATATTAATTTATTATGATTCATTTTCGAATGGTCCTTTGTTTTTCTGTGATTCTAGTTCGCATGTACACTATATTTTCTTCTATTTTTTTCGCCCTTCTGTTGGTTGTTTTTTACCAATTGTAGTCATGATTATTTTTGGTGTTCTGATTATTCGTAATGTTCGTAATGTTCAAAATCGTATTGCTCCGCATGGCGATAATGCACGAATGGAACGTTTACGTTCACATGATCGTCAACTAGTTATTATGCTTTTATTTCAAGTACTTATTACTATTCTAATTTCAGTCCCTTATGCCAGTCTTTTTATGTATTATGTAACAATTACACTTATACCAAAATATGAACCTTCAGTGTGGGAAGTGGCGATTACTTATTGTTGGAATATTGTGGCTACACTTCTTTATGCCACTAATCCTGTAATTGGCTTTTATATCTACACACTCACGGGTCCGAAATTTCTTGCCGAATTAAAATGTTGTTTTCGCAACGGCCTGCACTCTATGTTAACCACATTGGGTTTGGTAAGATGTCTACCTTTAGGAATACAACAAACATTGTTGGGTACCGCCGTAATTTCTAATAGCATTGCTGTTATGATGCAAAGTAGAAGAAAAAATAATGCTCTTCCTACTCAGCAATAACATACAACAAATAAAGATTTATTAATTATCGAATAAAATTTTCGTCTTTATGAAGTTTCTTCGGCTTAAATTATGTGTTGTCAAAGGAAGATGTTAATCTTGATGAACATGAAGGTTTCCCTTCAGTTCAATACTTTTTTGCGTCAATTAACATTTTCATTAGTATGTTGTCATGTTTTTTACGTAAATTTTTCGTTGTTGTATAATCTACTACTGTAATTCGTTGTTGTATAATCTACTACTGTAATTCGTTGTTGTATAATCTACTACTGTAATTCGTTGTTGTATAATCTACTACTGTAATTCGTTGTTGTATAATCTACTACTGTAATTCGTTGTTGTATAATCTACTACTGTAATTCATTGTATTCTATAATAAACAAAACATCATTATATCAACATCTAGAATTTACTTATTGAATGATACGATTATGTGAGAATAGGCGTGTTTAGTTGTAATGAAACGTCAATGTGTGATATTGTTCTAAAAGAAATAACGGTAGATCTTTTAAATGACAATCATATTCTAAGCAATTAATAACTTATATTATTAAAGTTAGTAGCCAATTCGATAAACATTTACCTGAATATAAAATAATGTCGTTAATAACAAGAATGTGGATATCAATGTGACATCTGTTCTTTTTACGAACTCAAATGCGATTGATAAACTTTTTGGAAGCTTTAAAGCTTTTATCTTTGAGCTATGCCACAAAAATTTAACAAGTTATTTACATATTTTCGTAACACTCCCATCGGTCCAATGAATAATCGACTTAATCTCATGTATCATCATATGAATTTAGACAGAAGAAATTCGATTTACACTAGAAATAAAATAGAATTTGTTCTTTTTTAATATAAAAGCTCCATTTTTTTCGTTTCACTTTTAGTCAAGAAGTAGTATCGATGAAGAGAGAAGAGTGTAGTAGAGGAGCCAATGGTAGTGTAGCATCTGGCAAAACCAGTAAAACCGATTATATCAGTTACGCAAAAAAAATTCTTTTGCAAAAAAAATAGATCTATGCACGACCGAACCAGACGGTTTACAAATTGTTGAAAAATTCATCGATAAAGAAGAACGAAACTCGCTCTGGTCGAGTATATGTCAAGAGAGATGGAATCCAAACATCGCTCGATATACTCAACACTAAAGTTGACTGATATTATAAGACGAGTCGAAATACATGCAAATTTTGACGAGCCAATTGATAAAATCATAATTAATAGATATAAAAAAGGATAGGGCACTAGTCCACACATCGATCGAACGGATCTCTTTGGTTCCACAATTGCCACTCTTTCATTAGGCACCGAAATGAGCATGCAATTTCAACGCGGATCGACATGGAAAAGCCCTCATGCTTCCGAATGCAGTCTTTTGGTGATGAAAGAAGATAGTATATATATATCGATTGGCACATTCCTTAAGATTAGAAACAATCGGGGAGAAAATTTCAATTACTTTTCGAACACTTAATAAATCCATTCATACGTAAAATTTTCTATACTATCATAATGAAAATATGTATATTGTTGTTCTTTCTGTTCACATTCAAACTAGAACTATGTGCATTTTCATATACAAAGAATAAATGAATCGACTAATAAACCAGTTTTCGTATAAGCTTGTAAATGTGAGCACAATTCATTCGTAGATATGCCCGTTTCCTCCTCAGTTTTCATAAGTTTCATCACAACAAGTCATGTCTGATGACCGTACTTATGTCGTTGATTAAACAAGATTGTACTTATTTTCATTAGAAGTAGATTCATATTAATCAGGTTTTTTTTACAAAGAATTAAATAGAACTTTAACTATAGAAGAATTTTCCTTATTATTTCGTAGTTATTGTCAAGAGAAGATCTTTTAAAAATAATCGAAATCTAAAACAATTACATATATATCTGATAAGTTCTCAATGAACGATATAGATATTGAAAAATAAAATATGAATGATGAATCTCTCTTTCAACGTATAGATATGTTTTAGATTAAATTAGTAATATGAATAGAAGATAATTCTTTCATCTGAATGCTATAATAATTACATAGAAATTTCGATAAGGAACACATTTCTTATATTTTGAAAGTAGAATAGTTGATAAGATAATATATACAGTATTGAATTATACCTCATTTGATAGATATAAATGAGATATATCGAATAGTGCTCATACAAATATTGGCACATAGTTCAGAGTGAATTTAGAAGATCAAGATCCATTCATATTGAGTTTTTAAAATACTAAAGTTGAAAAATACACACGCTCATCCTCGAACTATATCTTACCTAATATATTTAAATGAGCTCGATCAAATGAGACTTATTTCAATATTGGTACCTGTTTCAAGACGAATAAGAAGTATGAATAGTTTAAGCAAAATATATTTATTGTCTTTTTCAAATGCTGTCGATCAAAGATACCACATATAACACTGATTTATGTATCATTCGATAGCTCTAATTGTAATCTAGCAAATAATAGACCTCAGTGTCTTGGTATATGTATGACAGTGAATAGGTAAATACCATTTTTTCAAAAGAGCACAGCAGTTGTATTTTGCACATAATAATGATTGAAAACAGGACACCAATACTATTCAGACATAGTTATACTTGATTTGATGAAACTAGAGTAGAGCTATAGATTGACATATACGCTATCGTACCCACATATTCGATCATCAACCTGTAGAGCATATACCCGATAGGAAGCATAACTATTGAGTTATTCAGGTTTGATAATTGAAAAGGTCGCAAACAGCGTTCCATAATATGTCTTTCGATAGATCTTGCTTACATCTATCGAATAGTATGTACATTAGCATTAGCATATGTTTATTGACGAATTAGACAGTTAAATTTTTATTACCAACATACTGCTTAAGTTTTGCAAATACGATCATATAAAAATTATCACAGATAAAATTGACGTTGTCTCATTCAATGAAAACAAGTGAGATTTACTGAACGTTATGAATTTTTACGTTCACACGTACTTCATCATGAATATTCAATGTAAATCTTTTTAAAAAAGTACACATCAAGCTTCTTAGCGATTAAGATCCATAACAAATCACAGATATGAATAGATCATACTTCCTTTTAGACAGCTACATCAGACGTATTGTATAGCACATAAATGAGTATTGATAGGTATATGAAATTGAATTGATACATTTGAATGTGGATGTTGTAACGATAATGATATCGTTCATTTCTTTCTGTTCTTTATCCTCTCACCTCTATATCATACTATCTCCGGGTCGTCTCTCTCTTTCCTCTTCTCTATATAAGCGCGTGTCTTATTGTGAAAGAGATACATTCTGGTCATGTAGAGTAGTCAATAAACATCTATACCGTGAGAAGCGGTCAGCTACTCAACCAGTTTGTCATTACAGATGTGTTATAATATAAATATATTCGATACTTATTACTCTAAATCCCTTATGGTATAATTTAGTATATTCTCGTACTAATTAATAGTTAGGATCAATAAACAGTTTGACCGAAAAAGATCGATCTATTTCATATCTGATGGAATTTTCAAGTTTATATTGAATATATATCTATAGGTGTGTTATAAGTTTAGTAATTAATGTCGAAATGTGTATGAATAGTTTCAAAAAGCTTTCAGGTTCATTTTATGAATGCAGATCTGTTAAATAAAACATCATTTGATAGAGTTCTTCATGCTACATCGAATGAAATTGGTTTCAGATGCGACACACGCTGCAAAACGAATCTATATAAGAAATACGTGTTAAAACGATGATTTTCGACGTTTTCAGGTGGCTTTTTATTGAGACTCTTGATTATTAGGTGTGATAGCACACACTAATCGATAGAGCTCGTCGGGATCTATCTAGCACACATTCTCAGGTGAATCGTATTTAGAAAAACTCGAATCCGTGGCCAACTTCATCTACATGTTTCCGTCGATGGCTCAAATGCATGAACTATCTCGATGAATTGGAAGATTTCAATATCTGGTATACATTAACTCGCGTTTGATCGTAAATGTTTCTATGGAGGCCATCATTCTCACATTCGATTTTCCATACAATCACAACAGATTTTTACATTGAATTTTCTACGAACAAGTAACGCGGCCTAGTAGCCGCTAAACCCTCTACTGAAAGGATAGTATTAGTATTAGAGCACCACTATTCGTCCAAAGAGAGAAAAAAGTTATTTCAGTTGAACGATCTGATCGTTTGATAGTTTGCCAGAATGTTTTACATAGGCCAATTTCGCTTCCTGAAATCTTCTGAAATTATAACGCCTAGTCGCTTGTCGGCCTCTCTCCGGTTCACCACTCACCGCTAGCCGTCGGTACCTAGTAAGTGTTTAATGATATTTTTATTTTAAAAAGTACCTCGTTCTTGTTGAGTCCGTCTCTAGCAAAGTTGCCGAAATTCTTCACCACTTCGTGACCTACAGTATATCTTTTATTATCATTTTTAGTTGAATGAGTTGGTGATCTATATAGTTTTTCCTCGCAGCTCGAAAAGACGTTATATATATACTATATACCTTAGAAAAATTATGGACACTATGCGAAAGTCTTATAAATCTTACTTTTCAACTAATTCTCAAAAGAAACATCTAGTCGTTCGTCGGCCTCCCTTCGGTCGGCCACTTACGGCTAGCTGTTCCCATGCGTACTTATTTTACTATCTTAACTTCATTCGGACGAAGACGCGTTCCGAAAATGAGCACATTTCGGAAAATCAATTCATAATTAAAAACTTAGAAAGTTTACATAGCTATATGATTCTCTGGAAAAGGTTTCCATCTTCACTCCACCACGAGAAACCTTATATAGCTGCTAGCTATGTTCGTACAGAGCAACGATTAAGTTCTGTCCAAGGAATCTTAAAGCTCTATAAAAATCACAAAATTTGTTCTTGAGTATATTTTTCTGGAAATCAACGACTAGTCGCTCGTCAGCCTCCCTCCGGTCGGCCACTCGCGGCTAGCCGTCACATGTACATTTTCACTCTTCCATTTAGTGTACAGCCACTTTTGAAAGTAATCCACTCATCCTCTTCTATTCTCTCTTTAAAAGTCACCCTCTTTGTGCTACTGTGACTCTCGAAGACAACACTTGACAACTGAAACATTATTTTGAATGACTGACATCAGATGATATTCGTATAGTATAGCTGTTTATAAAAGTGTGTGATCTCATTAATATACTGATGACTATAGAGATCCAGCGCTCGGACGTCAGTCAACTATTACATTTTGTTCTACATATTGCCACTTAAAACATTATCGTCTAAAAAATTGATTCTTTGTCGTAAAAAACGGGTCAGAAAGTGTTCATGAAAAAACTAACCTCGGATTTGAGTTCCTCGACCCCGATTACCCTTCGGTCGACCCTTACTCGATAACAACAAAAAATTTCATTGCTTAATTAGCTAATTAGCTAATTAGAATTTCGAGAAACTAACCTCGGATTTGAGTTCCTCGACCCCGATTACCCTTTGGTCAACCCTTACTTGACAAGTAACGCTCATCCTTTGGATTCGCTTACCCTTTTCTGAAAGATTTTTCCTAATGCTGAACACATTCAGAGACTTTGAAGGAGAAAAAACACACTGCGATTGCTACTAGTGCTCAACTGAATCATGGCACCATGTCACACACTAGAACTGGAATGATTAGGATACAGAGGTCCTTTTAGGAATCAGANAACGTACGGACAAACGAACGAACTTTAGCTCAAATCATTTGTATACCCTCCTTTCAGTAGAGGGAATATTATAATAATAGCAGTAACAAGATTTATTATAAAGGGAACCAAAAAATGAAATATATTTATTGCTGAATTATATATTTGAAGTGAAGATGAATATTGAATTAAACACCATCTTCGATTTTCTTCTTCATCCTCAATAAGTTGTCGATTTATTGGATCTTGTAAAATACTGCTCGTGGAAAATAATAAAATACTAATAATAGTCCATTTAACGGCTCGTCTACTTTTATTCTTATCATATATTTGGTACTCATTACTAGTGAAAGTACTCGATCAATGGCTACACTTGCATTCAACCAATCTATAATAGTTGGTATCAATCGAAGTAAAAAATCAATTGAAATGCATGAAATACGCAGAATAATGATGTTTGGAATAATTGACGTTTGTGAAAGAATTAGCATTAGGAATTTAATTGAAAATATAAATGTTGAAAATAATGAAAAGATTGATGTAGCTAAAGATATTGTCTACAACCTGATTCATCTTTAGTTTTTCTTTGAAATGTTATAATCGATAAAATACTATTGACAAGACCAATAACTAACATGATAATAGTTAGAGCAATAGGGATTTTTACAATGCTTGGTTGATGATTTATCGATATGTGTGGTCGAATTTGATAACCAAGAATAGCATCGAGAGAAAGACCAAACTCTTTTGTAGTAAATTGACATTTACTTCCATAAAAACAATCTTCACAAACACAGAACGTCGAAAGCGGACAATTTGGACGATCTGAAAAACATTGAGCATTATTTTGACAATCTCCAAATGTTTTACAGGTGTATTTTACATTGAAATCAAACGAAAACAATTTGCATATCCTTCTTCATTGCATAGACACATGAATGCTTCATTATCGTGAAAACATTTTAATTGAGGTTTATTTTTACAGAGTAAATAATATTTAACACGACGTAATAATGAATACTTTGCTATTGTTTCATTATTAAATAATTGTAGAACATGTAAACATTGTTGTTCCATTTTCATCTGAACTACAATAACAGATGAAGGAGTGTTGTTTGTATTGACATATGTCAGAAAATATTCATTGGCAATTTGAGCAATGATAATATGAAATGATATCGATATTTGAATTATGGCTTTATTTTGATCAAAAGGAATTTTGGCATTAATTGTTGTACGCATTGGATTATGTTCTGTTTGTGAAGATTGTTTTTATGGAAGTAAATGTCAATTTACTACAAAAGAGTTTGG